GGCAATGTCCTTAGCTTCTTTGGGTTTCAATTTTCTCTTTGGGAAATGACAGAATGAGATTTGCAGATTTAGTGCTTAGCTCAGGGCCTGGCACAAAATAAGCATGAACAGATGTTAGGCAATAATGCACCCTGTAATCCTATGCAGCTGTGACTGTGGGTCAGTGGGAGTAGGGTGGGGAACGTGAGGCAGCTCTGGGTGAGGGTGGCTCCTGCCAGGGCTGCTCACTTCTTACTGGCTCTGCCATAGGCTCTTTGGAGAGACAGTGGAGTGGGGCACGGGTGCAGAATGCACCCCTTCTGCACCCCTGGAATGTGAGCTGCCACACTGAGATGGCCCACTGGGAAATTTCTTTACTCTCCTGCCCAACGTGAAGAATAATCATGCCTACCTCCTCATGGACTATTACACTTGGTACAAGAATCTTCCAAGAACAGATAGCTTAAGAGTACCACCGTACTCTAATCAACTGACGGCATTTTCCTGATGCTTTTTCTTTGCTGCCTGGGTTTGAACCCAGCCACTGGAACTGATTAGCTGTGTGACCTTGGGCAAGTTACTCTCCCTCTGTGGACCTAAGATGGATTCTTCATCTATTTCCTCAGCAGACGTCAAGAGGTGTGAAAGAGGATCAAATGGGTTCTCTCCGCAAGAGCGAGGACAGTGTCTGGCATGCGATAAGCTCCCTAAGTGGTAAAGAAATGAAATCTAAGCCTTGGGGCCTTTTTTCCAGGATCCCAGTTTAGCCCGGAGTCAGCAAACCTGGGTCGGCCGGGCCTCTCTGCTGGCGCTGGTGAGTGGGGCGGAGCCGGGAGCACTCTCTGAGCCGGCGAGGGGCAGCGCTCTGGAAGGACCCGCTGGCGGGAGGGCGGGCTGGATTCCTGGGTGCGGTCAATTTCGCCTCCCGCTGGGAGTCCTGGGGTTCCGGCATTAGGTATATACTGACATCATTGTGTCGTCCCCGTAAAATTCCCACCACCAGTTCACCGGTGACCTATCACCACAGTCCCCTGGGCTCCTCTCTCCCCTGTTTTGATCCCCAGCCCTTAATCCTTATATTTAAAAGAACACGCTTCTGGAAATGGGGATTGAGATATACTACATAGCGCCGATTTAAGGAGAAATCTAACTATAACAAGAGGAGAACTATTCTGCCTTGGCAGTTCTGTGGCCGATTAACACCGAGGACATCGCGGCTGGCCGGCGTGGGAGGGTCGCAGAGCCCGGCTCCGCTGAAGACCTTTCTTTTGCAAACTAGCTCTGGTCGGCGCAGGCCCGAGGGCACCACCACGCACCGCTGGCAGCGAACCAGTTGGTTTCCTTTCAATGGTTTATTTCTCATTATTGTGTGGTCATTTGGTTTTTGAAAAAACCTACTAAATGAAATCCGTCCTCCAGGCCCTCACAGGCACTTGGGCACGGGGCCATCCCACACTCCCCAATCTCCAGGCGCTTTCCAGTCTCAGAAGCACCCTGGCTTCTCCTTTGTTCCCCTGTTTTTGATCTGGTTGGTTTTTTTTTTTAAAGATTTATTTATTCATACAGAACAGGGGCACAGGCCAGAGATGCAGAGAGTCAGAGGATTCACCAGAGACAGAGTGGGGAGCAGAACAGGCAGATCGAGGAAGTACACTGCTGAGGGGAGCAGCGGGAGGGTCAGGAGAGGTCTGCCACACCATGTGGATCTCCTCCCGGGTAGGCGGGAATCGAACTCACGGGGAAGTGGCTTAAGCTTCTTAGTTTAGTGCTTTAACCCGCTGCGTCACCAGGGAGGGCCTGGTTGATCTTTAAAAAAAATAATAATCGCAAAATGAAATAAATACTAGCGATTGATGGGGAAAACGCCCTGTGTGCCCAGGCTCCCACACCATCGGTGGAGAGAGCCCTGGATGCCCTTCCCGGAGCTCTGCCTAACCCATAACGAACCTGGATATGAAACCAGGGGTCCTCACTCCAGAGGTGAGAGCGGGGATTAGGCGTGGAGCTGTGGCTGGTCTCTCTGTATCTTCAGGAAAGAAAGAAACTAGTGAGACTAAGGGACCTGCCTTTATTCAACAGGCCTTGTTGGCCCCGCCTGTAGAATGGGTTTCCCAGTTCTGCACGTAGGGAAACTTTGACCTTGAACACTGACATAACCAGTAGTCCTCAGTTTCCTGGTTTGCTAATTAATTAACATGGATTACAGTAGGGGGGAAAAGCCTATGAAGCATTTTGCTCCTTTGATAAGTCCAATGCCAGCCCATCCCTGACATTCATTTATGAGATTTGGGGGTCATAAGCTGATCCCTGAAGCAAAGACAAAGAATGAAGCATCAGAGAAAAGTCCTCACGGTGAAAAGTTAAGTGAAAGAAATATTATCTCTAATGCCACCGCACACAAATGAAGAATAAATAAAGCTTGGGCAGAAATCTTGGAGGTCCTTTGCAAATACTTAGTAGGATCTGATTAAGACGATGTGAGCTCCAGATAAAAAGAATTTCCCTAATCTGTGATTTAGGCCACCACTAAGGCTGCAGGCAGGTATGCCTGGTTGCAAGAGGGCCCTTTGTTTTAAGAGTTGGTCTGGTGGCCTGGTGGATCCTCTGTGTGCCTCCCCAACCCCCTCCGCCCCTCCCCCACGTTACTTGGGAACATAGTTTCCCCTCACCCCCGACAAGCACAGAGCACTGAATGAGCATGAGATAGAGACTCAGAGCAAAGTTGTAGATCCTGGAGGTGGAATGCCCAGGCTGAACGGAACACACCCTGGTTAGCCTCGCTTGGACTTTATAGCGGAGGGCATTCCAGTCCCAGACCCCAGAGTCAAGCCTTGAGCTCAAGTCGTTCCTGTTCATTCTCAGTGTCCAGCCCATAACCCTGCACCGTAGGTCAATTGCTTTTGCCCGGAGCCCTGGTTTGGCTCCTGCACTACCCACACTTGTGCCTTCCCGGTTCTGGGCAAGAGGTAGCTTTTAGGCTCTCTTGAAAAATTCCCCTCTCCTCTTGCAGAGTGGAGCACATAGAGAGAAACTCCCGAGGACACTACCATACAGGCACTGGCTATGCTGTCCCCGCAGGCAAAAGGACAGCTTCTGGTCACTCCAGCCTTGGTTTGGTGACTTTTGTGGGACACTGGGTCACACTGAGCTGCATTCTGTCCCTGAACACCATGAGCATTTTTTAAGCTACTACAGGTGCTCTTTGCCCAATGTCACTTTCCTGAAGAGGAAAGCCCAACATTTCCCTGGCAAAATTACAAAAAAAACTTTATTTCATGGGAACACAAAGTCCAGACTTCTCACATTCAATCCCTTTTAAAAAGCTGGGTTGGCCCTCCCTGGTGGCGCAGCGGGTTAAAGCACTGCACTGAGAAACTAAAGCCACTTCCGCATGAGTTCAATCCCCGCCTGCCCCGGAGGTCACCACCGGGCGCGGCAGACCTCTCCTGACCCGCCCGCTGCTCCCCTCAGCAGTGTACTTCGTAGATCTGCCTGTTCTGCTTCCCGCTCTTTCTCTGGTGAATCCTCTCACCCTCCGCATCTCTGGCCTGTACCCCAGCTCTGTATGAATAAATAAATAAATCTTAAAAAAAAAAAAAAAAGCTGGGTTAGTTCCTCCTGGCTGTGGGGACTGGGAGTAAAAAAGTTGGATATCCCCTCCAAGCCCGTGCGGACAAGTGGGACATGGGCTCAGAGCAAGGTATTCTTGTTAACCTCATTTTGCAGAAAAAAAAAAAAAAAAAGCATGTAGGCACCCAGCAGACAAGTCCCGGGCCCATGGCTTTTAACTTTTTCTTCATCCATAAAACCTGCGCTGCAAGAGTATTGGTCACAACAATGGTGACATTTATTAAATGCCCAGAAAAGATGACATCTGCAGGGAAGGAGAATCCCTCAGCATGTGAATTCAGATGGCCAAGCTGGAGGCAGTGGGCATTCACCTTTCTGAGGTCCAGTCCAGTAATTGGTGAGACGCCTGCCAGGGGGCCGTGCCCGCGGGGAAGATTGGAGAGTGCAGGGAAATTTGACAAGGTTTTCCGCTTTTCCATCTGTAAAGTTGGGGTAGACCTTCTTCTAAGTGGGATCAGTTATGGTGTGATTCAGTTGCAAAGGGCCTTGGTGCCTTTTGCTTTTTATTAAAACCCAGCACCTGGAACAGTGCCTGGCTGATAGTGATCAAGATGCTGAGGCTGGGAGAGCTGGGCAAGTGCCCTCTGTATCTAAAGGAATACTTACAAAGAAGTGAACCCCAATTCTACCAACACTGGCTGTTTGTTCACCCTGAGCTCTTTAAACCTTTCCAAAGCACACTCTACTCAAATTTAAAATAGACTCTCCTGGGCTTATTGAAGTTTATATAAAACAAACTCAGAAGCTGCCTAACAGGGAATTTGCAGCAAGGATTAGTTTGTATTATCACTATCATCAATTTGCACATAGAATGTTTTTGCTTATAGAATCAATTTGCACATAGAACGCAAGACCAGCCGGAACAGCAGCCTCTGCCTCTGAAATTTAGTTTTCTTCAGTGCCGCGGACTACAAGAAGCACACATGCGGGATCAGCCACTCACTTTAATGGGAAGGAGTTTTCGTTTCTTACAGCAACAGGTAAAAACATAAATACGGGTGGATGGGCGGCGACAAGGCAGCAAGGGCCCGGGCGCCGGGCCCTGGATCGGGGCAAGGCGGCCGGTTTTGGGCTCCGCACGCCGGAGCTCCTAGTCCCTATTGGTCGGTGTTGGCGCTTGGGGTGCCTGTGGGCACTGAGGGCACTCTCTGGGCGGCGGCTAAGGCACCAGGCTGCGGGATCTCTCACCGCAAATTGCGTAAACGCGACCACTAACTCCCGGTCGGGACAAAGGCGCTTGGAGCGGAAAAAGCCCCGAGGCTTCCGCAGGAGTGAATGTGAAATCCGAGGGTCGACGGAGGTATCGGGAGTCCTCCCCCTCACCCAAAAGTCAGTACCCTCTCTAGAGGTGGGGTCAGTGAAGACAGGGCTGTCCCAGGCAGGTCCCTTCCCTACCAGGCTCGGATGCCATGCAGCGTGGACACTCCGGAGTTGCCCTGCGCAATCCCAGGGCTCTGCACCGCGTTCAAGTCCCCAATGCCGAAGTTCACGAAGTTGTTGTTGGCAGCGGCCGAAGCCGTCTGCGCGGGGGGTGGCGCGGCCGGGTAAGCGGCCGCGCAGCTGTAGCCGGGACTGCAGGCCGCGCCGCCGTAACCTGGGTAAGCGGGGTAGGCGTTATAGCCATAGGCGTTCAGGCCCACGCCGTAGGCAGGCGCATAGGGCGCCGAGTCCCCGAGGCAGGGCTTGCCGTCGCGCACCAGCACCGGCACCGCGATCCGGCGCGCGGGCGGCGGGGGCGGCGGGGGCAGTCCCACCAGCTCCAGAGTCTGGTCCTGCCGCTGTCGCTTGCACTTGTAGCGACGGTTCTGGAACCAGATTTTGACCTGTGTGGACGTGAGCTTCAGCACGCTGGCAAGCTGGTCACGCTCGGGAGCGGACAGGTAGCGCTGCTGCTTGAAGCGCCGCTCCAGCTCGTAGACTTGCGCCTGCGAGAACAGCACGCGCGGTTTCCTCCGCCTTCGCGCGCGGGGTCGCTCGGCGCTGTCAGCCTCCGACTTCTCCAGCTCCACCGCCGTTTGCAGCGCGCACAGTTCTGAAGGGGAACAGAGAGACAGAAACAAGCTCTGTCTGGGCAACCCAACCCGAGGGGCGGGCGAGGGACAGTAAGCCCCAGGGGGTGCCATTCCGGCCTGCCTGGAGCGCTTGGTTTGGCTGGGGCTCACTACAGATAGCAGTGGGGGCCACGGAGGACTCGGTATCCGCGTGACAAGTCAGTGTTTGTTGAATGCCCACTAAATGCCACGCGGGGCTCTAGTTGCTGCAGAACAAAAACGAGAGGTCCCTGTTTTCTGGTAGTTTACATTCTAGTGAGAGGGACAGTGCCTGAAGATTTCAGGCTGCAAAGAAAGTAAAATAGGACAGTGTTCTGAAGTGAAGTGGATTAAGGCTACTTTGATTAGAGAAAATAAATGAAGGTTGATGAAGACCTCACCCCAGGGCTGTCATTGTCTCAAAATGACCGAACAGAAGGCCAAGAGGCCCGGGCTCGAGGTCCAAAGTTCCCGCGGTGGCTGCGGAGGTGGGGGGGGGGGGGCTTTGCGAAGCGCCGCCGAGTTGCCTCGGAGGGGCAGGATGCCTCGAAACCGCCCTGCCCGCTAGCCCCAGCGGGAATCCAATAGGTAGTGATCGATTCAGACAGCCGTGCAGTCTGTTCCCGAGTCTTCACTGTTCTTACACAGACCTTTCTATGCTCATAGGAAGATCCTTCCAGGGCCCACGGAGGCCCTGTCATCGGTGCCTGAGGCCTCCCTGGATTTCCTGATCTGCGCTGGCCACGTTCTCCCCAGCTGAGCCCCTTTATGCCCGGTCAGCCGCCGGGTCAGCCGCCCAGTCAGCCGCCCAGTCAGCCGTCAACACTCCCTCCAAAATGAGCTGGGAGCCCACCACTTTCCTCAGTCACTTCCTTCATTGCCCGGAGCCTTAATCCAGAGGCATTTTCTAACTTTTCCCAGGACACAACTTCTGGGCCCTAGCGGTGTACAGGAAAAATAAAGTCACTAAGTCAGATCTCCAAGTTCATAGAAGTCCATTTTGAAAACCAAAGCCCCTATTCAATCCAAGACTCTCCAAGTTCCTGACACAGAAGGAGCTAGGCCCCAGAAACCCAGGTTATGGTGGGCTACAGAAGTTCCAGGACTTTCTGATTGTGCCCTACCGTTTGTCTAGTAAGAAGCGATTATTTATTTAGATCTTCAAAAATTAAAAAAGACTCTTAAATTCAAAAGATATGCTAGCCTTCCTCCAGACCCCCATATGGAGACTGTTTCTCTCTTTTCTGTCAGCCACAAACCAATCACTCAAATTTGTAGCTGATTCAAAAATAGGGTTGTGGATGCCCTGAGCTTTGTTAAGCCAGATTTTTTTTTTCTTTTGTCTCTAGTGTCTGCTCATCTCAAGCCAGCATTTCCTCCAAACCTCCGGCTGGAGGGGTGCAGGGGGCCCTGGCGACAAGCTCGCTTCCCCTACTGAGTTTCCCAGGGCTCAGCCTCCACCCTGGCCACTCGCATCTCCTCCACCCAGGATGGAAATTCTCGGCGCCAGGGTTTGGGGAAGAAAGGGACCCAGTGGAGAGAAGAGGCTTGTGTTTCCTCCTCACCTTTCTTATCGGCTCGAGGGTCCTTGGCTGGGTCAGGGTCGCCATAGGCACGCGGATAGAAGGCGGGGGTGGCAGGGAAGGCAGGCGAGCACTTGGCAGGCGACGGTGCGGGGCCCAGCTCTGTGCGCAGCTCAGAGAGGCCGGGAGCTGCGACCTCCGGCCCCGCGTAGGCCTCGGGCTTGAAGGCGGCCAGCATGCAGGAGGCGGGTGCCAGGGTGGCCTCCAGGCGCGCGGAGAGCTCCCCCGCGGCCAGGCTGCGCTGCTGCTGCTCCAGGTTCAAGATGTCTTTGACCGAAAACGGCGTGGGCGTGAGCGCAGGGCTGGGGAACATGGTGGCAGCGAGCGTCTTGTCACAGCGTCAGGTGGGCAGCAGAGAGCAGCGCTGCCCACGATCCTTGGCAGCCTCCCCGCATGGTGCCCGCTAGCCACCCGCGCACCCGCCTTCCAGCTCGGGATGTGGCCCGGCGGCAGGTAGTGCGGAGCACAAGGGGCAGGAGAGGCGGGACCAGGCCGGAGGAGGGGGACTCAGTCTGCCATTGGGCCAGGGGCCGCGATGACAGGAGCGATGAGCACTTTCATGTCACCTAATATAGTCATAGGCTTAAAAAAAAAATCCTGCTCAGCTTTTTAAAGGGGCCGCAGCGCATTTGGAAACTCCTTTTGCCTATTCAGCCTGTGATTTCTCCAGAGTATTATCCTGAAAACCACACCAAGACCTTTCATAAAAAAGGGCCTATCCTGCCTTGGGTGGATCTGGGATTTGAAGATATGTGCTAAGGCCCTGCAACAAAATGAGAGAGTGAGGACTGGGTAGAGAGCTGCCTGCCTAAGGCTAGCTATTTCCAGGTTTTGTTACTGGAGGTGTGTCTGACTAGAAAGAAAGGCTATGAATGTGAAGACAACTGAGGGGGTGAGGGGTTGCTCTGGGGTGATGGAGGAAGGGGGAGATGCTGGACAATTATGGGGTCCATTAGTTTGACAGGTGCAGCATTGCTCCCATAGTCCCTAGAGACTCCTGGGTGGTCAAACTGAAAGGCAAGGCGAATGGTTGTGAGATTGCTGTGTACGCCCAAGCACAGTGTGGCCACCTCTTACCACAAGTTTTACATACAAAACTCCAGGACCATGAGTCAGTGGCCTTCTCCTCCCAGAGAAGTAAACTTCCCCTTAATAATGAAACAGATCCTGAATCCCTGTCAGCTCAGCTGCCTGGAAGGGAGCTGTCTTCAGGCTGGTTCTCCCTCCCATCCAATGGCCCAGTTTCCCTGTTCTGGATTCTACCATTCCAGCACCCTCCTTCTCTTGCTTCCCTCCCCAGCAACATGGCCTCCAGCTTTGTGAAGCTTCTGAACCTCAGACACTGGGCTGGGTTGAGCTCTCAGGCAGGTCCAGCTGCTCCAAGCTCAGTAGAGCCAAGATTTCTCTAAGGTGTCTGAGTGGGTTCTGCTGAGTGGGGCACCTTGGATGTGGTGGCTGGGCCAGGCTTATGTGGGTGGGGGAAGGGCAGGGCAGGTGTAGTGTCAATTTTTACCTAGAGCCAGTAAAATAGGGATCTTCAGTCAGTCAAATACACCTCTGTTAAGAACATAAGTTCCCGGACCTTAGCTGTTAGCCCTGTCCATTTGAATCCCTTGGGAGATCTGACAAACCTTTCAGGGATTCTCCTCACACCCATAACTCTGCAGAAGAGATGCTCTATTTTGTGTACAATTTCAGGGAGGGTGGGGGAAGGGCAGAATGACCCCAGGTTAGGGTCATCCCCTTTCCCAATCTCTGGGGTTAGCCAGCCCTTTTAGGGGAAATGCATCAACTTCCTACCACAATCTGGTGCCGGGGGTGGGGGTTGCTAGCACTTAGTGTTGCTGAGAATGGAGCAGTCGTGCAGTAGAAGGGTGCCCAAGACAAAACACAAGCTAAGGACACCTCTTGGTCTCAAGGCTCCTGTGAGATCAAGGCTCTGAGGGAACACAAAGCAGGTGGGGCAACGTGGAGCCCGTCCACAACGTGAACCTTGGGGCGCTCAGCTGAACGGTGAGAGTCTGGGCTGTGTGCTGTCTGGGAAGGGCAAGGGTGGAGGCAAACATAGGCCTAACAATGGGACTTTCCTAACCGCCCGGACATCTTTGGCTTTAGAGCTAACCCCCTTAGGGTGGTCTCCAGCCTCAGAGCTTGGACCCTGGCTTCCATAACACCCATGCCAGTAGCAGACCCCAGCTACCAACGGCAGCCAGCTTTCAAGCCAAGGAGGGCCAGCGGTTCTAGGATTGTTAGCTTAGTTTTTGGAGAAATGTCTTTCCCCAAGTGGGGGTGACGGATTCCCACCTAGGCCCCTAACCCCGTGGTTGCTCCGGGGCAGATCTGTGGAAGAGTGGCCCACCTTCAGCCGTTCCTTACCAAGACTTGGTCAAGGCTACTGCTTTCAGCTAACCTAGCTTGGGGCCCCGCCTCGCCTTTGAAGATTGTTTTTGGGGAGTGGGAGAGGATGCCAATCGCCTAGGCGGTGACGTCTGGCAAACGAGCCACATCCGATTCAATTAAACGTCTTGCTGAAAAGAGCTTGGAGCGAGGGTCCTGGGAGCGCTGTTAAGTGAATCGGCTGCCCAGGCGACTCGCGATGACAGTTTGAAAGATTAGTGTGAGCCGATGCCTGAAATATTACCGTTTAATGGGGGGACATTGAGGCTGCATCCGGGATCCCTGGTGTTAGCTTTTAAAAAAAATTTTTTTTTTAAAGATAGTTCTGGAGGAAGAAAAAAATAGTTTCCGCTGCAAATCAAGGCGATCGAGGTTTACTACTTATTTCACATAGGGGGGTTCCTGGAGCACACAGATAGATGGGTAGGTCAGGTGTCATGAAGAGGAAAGAAAAGAAAACACTCCCTATTTGGACAAAATCAGTGACTTTCTCACCCCCTACACCGGCTGAAAACCGGTAATAATTCCTCTTGGCTCTAAATAAAGCCTTAGCGTTTCCAGAAGGAGGCAATCCTGGACAGAAACGGATAAGCACAAGCACGATCGATATTGGGGCGAACCACTCTCTTCTCCGCAGAGAAAAGTGTTCCAGAGCAAGTTGTAACTTTTCTTTGCTGTCCCCACAGTTTCCGAGTGAGTAAAAAAAATGTGTTTTCTTTAAATAGAAGTTGCAATGGTTGGGGGTGGGGAGACGCGAAACTTGATTCTCCAGCCGGACTAGGGACGCATCTTCTTTCCCAACCGGCGGCTGACCCAACCTGGCCGGCTCTTTAAGCCGCACTTTGGCCAAACCAGCAGGACAAACAAACAGTCTTGAGCCCAGAGAAGTGCTTCCAGAGGAAGACAAAGGAGGCAAAGAGAAGAGATCGAAAATCTCTCCATTTATTTCCTTGCCTTTTAAAGAGTTGGTACTTCAAGATTAGCCAAATTCCAGGATGACTCGAGCGCATTCTGCGCACATAAAATATTATTAATTGAAAAGCGATCAGCGCAGCCCCAGCCGGCCCCCCCCTTTCCTGCAATCAGCAGGGCTGGCCGCAAAAGGTATATATGATTAATTGAAAGATAAGCTGGAACTATCACCGGGAATGTCATTAATGCGCCGGGGAGACGTCCATTGGAGACAGGCGGTGTTATCCGCGGCTTTATCTTCAACAACGCCTCGGTCTCGGCCCGCGCCGGGGAAACAGATGGGGGTTTCTGTCTGGGACGCTTGCCCCATGTTTATATTTTGGGAAGAATCGCAACTCGTGGGAGTCCCCGGCGGGCCCCCTGATAAATGAACATTAGCACTTTTTCGGACTACTGTATCAACAAAGGGGCTGCGGGCGCTGCAATAATTGGCGAGAAAGCAAACAGAGGGCCGAGAGCGCGCCTCTGCTCTTCGTCCGGCTGATGGATGAGCAGCGGCGGCTGCGGGACGGGCTCCCGGTACTGGCCCGGGCTCTCCAGCGCGGCCGCAGGGCCTCTCCGCCGCCCTGGCTTCCTTCCGGACCGGGGGTGGGGGTAGGGTCGCTTTTGGGGTTGGCCTCTCTAGCCCTCCGCTGCTAGAGAGTGCTGACCGACTGCCTCGGACTTTTCCTGTGAGCGAAAACGTCTTATTTGGGCGGTTCGCCGGGCACCCATTTCTCCTCACAGCCCTTTGTTGCGCGGGGAGAGCCACACGCCCTCACCTGTGCCTTCGCTTATCTCGATTGCTTGGGAGAAGAGAATGGGGCTCAGAGAGGTGAAGTGACTTGTTTAAGGTCACACAGACCGGAAACGTCAGTGTAAGGATTCGAACATAGGACTGACTACATAACTATGAATGTTTCTTTACTGCAAGTAGCTAACTGCGTCTTAGAGTCACACCAACTGGAGAGGAAGCAAGACATCATATCCCCAACACACATACACACTTCCTCTGCACTCCCACCCCCCACTCCAGCAGCTCAGCTAGAGAGGAGGACCAGGCTGCTTTCACAATGGGGGTTTTTCACTGAGAGAGAGAGAGAGAGAGAGAGAGAGAGAGAGAGAGAGAGAGAGAGAG